CAGTTGTATCCCACCTCGAATATATCCCCAAAAAAGTTCCGTCCCAAAGTGGGGATATAAACGAGGTATGACTGTATCATTTTGGAGTTGTGATCGGTAATACAAAATTGACTTCATTTATTTCTTGTTCCTGCCTAAAATGGAAGTTGGAACAAAAATTGGGAACATGAAATGAATTGGTCAATGATATCTCCGAAAGTGCAAAACATGGTCAATAAACTATTGATGGTTGCAATTAAATGCACAGTACAATAAGTATTAATATCAGGTAAATACGTTCCATTATATATGGGCAGACTTGGTCATAGATTTCATATCATTTAACTTGCCAATTACTGTTTCCCCAAATTGCTTTCACAGCTTTTAGTGTGAAAGATACGATTTCGAAAATTGTTGTCTTGTTTCTTGGCTAATTGTTTTCCGTGACCACCAACAAAGAAAAGAAAGAATGACTAGTCAAGGTAAGTTCTGAGAACTTGAACTGTTGATGAAAATTGTGTGACTGATAATTCACACATTTACCCCAGTGTTTTCAAACTTTTGTATTATAGATGATTTTGGATCAGAATATGTGGTCACAGCCAAATGGAGACACAATTGTGTTGCGGTTAGCAGTGTTGTGGGAGAGCGTTAAGCTTTCGCGTAGGCATGTTTGCCGACAGGATTTCATTTCAGCTCACGCCCTTATTTCGGTGGTTGCTTTTGCGACTGAATCTAAAATTACAAATGATCTAATTTAAGTATTTAACGTGTGCGCTTCTTCACTCCTATACTAATACGATATCCCACCCGAACTTGTATCCAATACGGGTACCTGTAATATAATAATAAATATTCAGGGTAACGTCACTTTCCTACTCTAAATAATTGAACAATAATCTTTTATATTATTAAGTATAGACTCTCGTTCCGCTACTTACATGATTAATCAACGGATATTTTACGGCTTAATATTAAATGAGCCGTTTATAAATAGATAGTTATAGTTTGAGCGAGCCAAACTTTACAGCTTTTTGTGAGTTGTTTTTATCGATATATCCGTTTAGTTAATACTCAACAATGAAAGAAAGATCCCAAAATTTGTTTATTTAACATTCCGTGGATAAAAAAATCTTATCCTCTGTTTCAACGCGTCAATTATTGTTATTTCGATGACGGAATATGAGCTACTTATATGTCTTTTTCAGACACCCAAAATCCGTCACAAAAAATAACTGAAGAACGAATAAAATTCTAAGTTAATTGTAGGCACTGAATATTTTCGCAGCCTGACATGTAATTATTTGACTGCGGAGGAAGATTTTATCACCATGTGATTCAAATGTTCAGCTGAGAAACTAATGTGAATTTAAATGTGATACAGAGAAAAGACAAACAATATGATGAGAAGCTGCCAATATGTAAAAGCTGTTTTGAATTTGAAATTGATTTTTGAAAAACCCCATTCTAGTATGGTGTTAAAAACTCGAGAATATTTCAAAAACACTCAAAAAAAAATTGGTCAGTGGGAAAATGATATGTTACCAAGCGATATATTAGAGTCTTACATTACTAAAATGTCATCAGCCCCGCCAGCCATATTTTTGAGCTCACGTAGCCAAATGCTAACTCTGTTTGTTCGTTACAAAAGAGAACATTCGCGTTAAAGAAATTTATGGATGCGTCAGTAGTTTTACAGCCAACTTGATTTTGAAGCGTATTATTGTTTCGCATTATTAATAAATTATTGTCTATGGTTTATAAGTATTAAATATATGCATTATACACTGTCCCATCTAGTTCCTTCACCCCATCTGCTTGCCGCTCTCCCTTCTAATTTCAAACCAAAGTTAACCATTGGTACCTGATCTGGTACGCTGCTTTTCTCTGCTCCTTTTCCTCTTAATTTTACATATCTCTTGATGAAGCTAAAGTTAATACCCTTCCAATCGTTTTGTGCGATCCAATACCAAACCATTTGAAAAGCTAACCCGACTGCTCCGCCTGCGACTCCAACAATAATCAGTATTAAAAATGTATTCCGCTCTACGACATATCTATAGTCATCTGGCTCAGTAAATCCCCAAGCATACTTGAAACCAGCCAACAGCCCACCCCGTACGAATATATCAACACCAAGCATAATTAGGTAACATCCCGAACATATAGTAGAAATTATGGACATAAATGGGTATGTTTTTTTAAATGCGGACGGTAAGACAAATAATGAAGCGAGACTGCCAATGAGTATATATCTCCAAAGTTTGGTGTGAATCAAAAGATCAGTGTCAGTCGCAAGTATAATCATGGAAAGGGACAGTCCGCCGATAAAACCGACGAGAAGTCTTCCAGTTGGAAACATGCACACAAAGAAGCCGCCAGTCACCAGGCCACTAACCACGCATACGAGTAAATAAACAAGACGAACGGAAGTCGTTGGATCGGTGACATTTTGAAATTTAATTATAAAGAGGACTAATACCAGACCTTTTTTTTTTATAAAATGTAGAAGTAGGAGAGAATTGTAAAATGCGATTGTATGAGTGTTATAAACAACAAGATGGAAAGAGACAAAGCTATTAAGTACTTGTATAACAGAATGGTAATACAATTGCACTGAGAGAATTGTTCCTGACCTGCTGTGTAAAAGCCAGCTAAAAATAGCGTCATCCATTTGTATTTGTATCCTCCTAATAAACTAATTAGCCCAGTAGATAAAAAGAGAATTCCCATTAAATAGCTTGTGATGTCCATTGGATAATCGGCTCCCCTTGCTATCAAAGGTAAAAAAGAAAGATAAGCCCAAGCTCATCAAGTCACGACATTGATCAGTTTCCGATGCTCAAGACTCACTGTATCCTTCTCCACCCAAAGAGTCTTCGCCTGCTACCGCTTGTGTTGGTTGTTCATTTGCAGATTGTTCGGGCTGAACTGAGGTTGTGGTGTTTCCTCCAGTTGTCTGTGCCATAGACATCACGATACAAAGGGTTATCATTATAGCAAGCATACATATCTGTCTATCGTTTTTCGTCATTGTTATGTGTTATACGCAGAAAATAGAGTGAAAAGAATAATTAACGAAGCGACGCTTTGACAACATTTGTAGAGCATTATTAATGATTGTGTGAACCTGCTATTATTGATCCAAACAATTCATGTGCCGTTTCAAGTTCATTAAAGGATCACCATGTGTTAAACATGATCGCTCGGGCCAATATTACTATACTAATCGATCGGATTAGCAATGGCCTGAGATTTGCTGATGCGACATTTCCCACGGACACGCTTTTGGACATGAACTGTTTACTATTATTACGTTCGGTCGTTTGTGCGTTAACATTTCCCATACATAATACACTAAACCTCTACAGAAATTAAAGCGTGTGATTTCGTACAACATGTGGTCCTAATAAGGTTAGATGCAGTTATAACATTTCTGGGTTGCTCCGTTTCTTCTCAGAAGTAATTGTTGATTCCTTCTTTTTTCTTACGAAGCAAACATTTAATCAATGACCATACAGAGCCGGTTTACTATATTTTACTCTTACATATGATTGCGTGACTATTGAAATATAATTATCATCCATTCAGTGCTATCGTCCTGAGAAAAGCGAGACGACTAAATTCACGTTCTTACTGCTGAGTTTACGCAAAGAACACAATCAAAACTGTTATCGCATTAGATCAACATTGTTGAATATATTTTCCTAATTGAAGTGTGTGGCCGGTTTGATATTCGATCGGCAAATTTATGAAACGTTGCATTGCCTTTCCATTTTTAGTAACAATAGGCGGTCAAGCATTCTTTAGTAGCATGTTCGAATTTAAAGCGGGATTATTACAGTAACTGTTAACCAAGTAGCGACAACTAATAATACGTCAGCGATAACATTTATTTATTGTCATATGACTTTAAGTTACCAAAAGGTAGTAATTTAAATTTGTGGATTGTCGCAACACAAAAATTTTACCACACATGCAAGCATCTTTTGCCGGTTCGCAAAAAGTCTACACAATAGTCGTGGCATATACTTTTTCAACTTTTTTATTCTTTTTAAATTTGTCATCCAAGATATCTGAAAACAGTCAAACCCTTGAATAATGCAATGAACAAAGTATCAGCACTGACTTTTGCCTTCCAAGGTTTTTCAAATTGGATTTGGCGCGTATGGGGTATCTGACCTCGTAATTCTACAAGCATACCCAGCAGAAACGCAACAAAATCATGGATAACTATTTTATGACAAAAGTTTTATCAGATAAACAAAAATTGTAACTTCCATTAAAGAATTGTTCGGGTCAGCGATCATCTTTAAGCATCTTTGGTAGTTCTCTCTCCTTTGGTAATTTTGATATTTCCTACTTAAGCGAAGGATTTACAAGACTATTTCTTACAATAAAATTGGCCCTACCCTTTCTTCTTGTTGCCTTCACAATTCCTTGAACTATCCTTTATGATTTTATGCTTTGATGATTTACTTCGAGCAGTATCAACTCCTTCCAATTCATTAAATCATTTATCGATAAATGACAATATTCCGATAATCAAATCAAAATATTTTGTACATGCATAAACCTTTCCTCGGTATCGTTGTTGTAGTAGTCATAAGTAAGTTGTATTAGTATAATTAAGAACTGTCTGGAATTTCATCGATAAACGTTCATAACTAATTGAATATATGCTGAAAGCTAGAGATTCCCCTGACCGAATGTCTATCATTTGAAAAGACATTAGAGATCATGGTGAATGTTAGTTGACTATCTCTAATAGTAAGCCTATTAGTCATTTTTAACCATCCTATAGATATTGTTCCATCGTGATTCAATTATATTAAAGCCACCCTCAATTAATGATAAACGTTTTGACCCATTTTAATCGATGGCTGTCGAAGAAGAAAATTGCCCATTAACAATTACGGAAAGTTTTACTCGTGAAAACAAAAGATATTCTATCTTTGTGTGCGGCAAAATGTAAAACAGCCAAGGAATAAAACGCTATTCAAACGTATTTCCTGCTGCATTGAAACATTCAGAGCCAGGCAATAGATTGATCCTTCATTGAAATTCCGCATATAGTAGCATTCAAAACATTCAGAAAGTCATGTCATCTTAACTGCCAACATCTACAGTTGTATCACCAAGGAAGAGTCGAGCAAATAATAAATAAGAGTGAGAATGAACATGAAAAGGACAAAACTCCTAACATTAGTGTTAGTACATATGCTAAATTGGTTCCCTCAGATGTCTACAATGCGACATCACACAAGTCAAATTTATCACTAAGTGTTTTTGGGAAGAACGCATATTGTCATTTTTATGGTTCTAATCTGACTGTGTATCTGTGCGACAATTTTCCATTTTCAAAAAAAAGAGCTTGGTGTAAAGATTCAAAGAGCTACAAAATTGATAATCAATAACATACCACAAGAAGGGGCTTTCAGAGAAGGCTGAGACTATTGTTGTATAGAGGCTAAAGGATTACTTTGAAGGAATGATACAGTTGAATACCGTAAATACAAATTCTATGTCTTTTTGAACCCCACGTAATTAATGAAAATTCGTGAACCGAGACCGGTTTATACATGTTTGACCTACAACTATATAAAAAATATAGCAATCTCATATATTTGTGAGATAAGAAAATTTGATTAACAATAGAGACGGGACTACAAGCGCGGAGGAGGAAAGTGAAGGACTTAGTTTTGGAAGATGTCTGATCGTGAAGCGCTCGAATGTTTAACGCGGCTTCAGGATTTTACGTGTAAGAGTTTTGCTGAATTTAGGAAATTAAGAAAGAAATTGTTACTGGAGGGAAATTTTAAATTGAACGTATTAAGGCCGCTATTATAACGAATTTAATTAAGAGTCCGGTATAAAACCCACAAACATATTGCACTACACTACTCAAACCAAAAGTTTCTTGACGAATTTCTGGTTGAGAATAATTTTGGGATACAACAATTCGTTAACAAAAACCTCATGATGGTTCTGTTTTGTTGACTTCGCTATTACTATGAGCTGGTAGAGATGAAACGTATCAAGTATAACAAGACCACCACAAGACCATGTAATCAGTTAAAGAAGAAAGTCTTACTTTCTCGCCGGCGTCGAACGGTGTATCTTACAGATTTTATTCCTTCATCTTATCGGTAACAGGGTGTGACCTGCTTTTTGCCTTATCGAAAGATATTTAGGTAGATCTGCTTTTGGCCTCCAGTGATGCAATGTCTGGTAAAAGTATCTTCGTCACTGTCGGTTCTACCGGCTTCCATTCTCTTACCGCTCTTATCATATCTCAACCATTTCTTCAGTTAGCGTCATCTTTATATTATCATAATATCATAGTACAGCATGGCAGTCATACTATGAATTTACAACTTCCAGAATCAAGCAACGTAAGATTAGAATCGTATGACTATAAGCCATCATTGCAAGAAGACTATGAAAGAGCAGATCTTATCATCAGTCATGCTGGTAAAAGCAAGAAATTTAATGTGGAAGGAGAGTGCTATTCGATATACAAGACTACTTATTAAGAGTTGTTTTAGGCGCCGGATCTATCTTAGAGTCTCTTAGATTAAAGAAACCCTTAATAGTTGTAATCAACGATTTACTCATGGATAATCATCAAGTTGAACTTGCTCTTGAGCTACATCAACAGAAATACCTCATTTGCACATCAGTCAGGTAGTATGGAAGAAGTATACTACATGAACCTATCATAACAAACTTAATTAACTATTCGTCGTTTATTTCTTCAGTCATTTACTTGAAACTCTGAAATCAAGAAGTTATGAAACGTTAAAGCCTTTTCCACGACATGACGAGTTAGCGTTTGCACGCATCTTAGATAGGGAATTGGGTTTGAACTAAATTAAATCGAGCGAATAGTATCTTGTCACCATTTAATATATTAAATTGATCTAAGCACAGCCGGCCTGTAATCCACACTTATGGCATCTTTAGAGGGGCTTTTTAATCACATTTTACTCCTTGAATAGGCTTCCACCGTTATTCATTGTCTGCATGGAATATGCAAATGTTCACTTGCTGCAAAGCCACTAAACAATACGATCTCAAAACGAATGAGTTTAAAGACAATATAACAATAGCATTTGACGACATTAATATATATTTGAAAGCGTGGTCAACTGTAATTATTGTAAAAGCTGCACACACGGTTTTTCTCGATTCGAATGGTCGTACGATTAAGTGAGCAAATCATTATCTTTTGGCGCGATATTTCGGACAAAGAAACATTTGAATACATTGACACATTACTCGTTCTATATAATTTATTAGTTGAATTGGTAAATATTACAGAAATTATTATATAGTTTTGGTTTTGTTTTTTAATACAATAACAAAATCAAAGACCTAAATGATATTTGTTATTTTGTGACCTACAATTATGAGACTATTGATCCTGCATCGCTAGGCAAACTCTTCTTTGAAGACCATATTGAAGGTTTTGTTGAATGGTTAATCTGTAAGCCAGAAAAGAATTAATAGAGTGAAGCGTTGGAATAAAGCAAGTGATGATCATCCGATATTTACCTCATTGATACTCTCATCATAGTCGGAAGGAACGTGAAAGGCATCAAAGCCAACAAACTCATCGACATCATCCTTATCAGTATGGTAAATTTCATCATGGGTTGTCTTTAACTCTTGTCGTCGTTTTTTATATGCTTTCACCTGATCGGGGCTTGCATGGTAATAAATAAGACTCGGGAAAAAATCTTTTCGCCTTCTTTGGCTTGGTGAAAGCATGTACATTTCCACCGCAGCTATAACCTATACAAATTATTTGCCAGACTAATCTTATCAGCATTGAATTATTGGAAACCCCATTATAGTCATGAATGCATTACCTCCGCTTTTTGTTGAAGCCAAGCACGTTTACCATTCGTCTTTGTAACTTCAATGACGTCGCTCATCAGCGCAATCAAAATATTTAATAATACGATTGCGGTTGTGAACGAAAATACTATTGTTAGAATTGCAATCGTGGGGTCACTGAATGCATCGTTAGCTGAATTAAAGGAGCCAGTCTATTGAAAATCATCACAGTAAATTAGGATTTATATATCATAGTCACACAAATGAAACTAGAAATAGAGCTTCATTACTTACCACAAAAAAGTACACTGTAGCTAATGACATGGGATAAGTGTCAAAAGTTTCTGGTGCCGTAGAATTAGCAACTAGCACGTTTACAACATCCGGATATTTAAATAATAAAAGGAACATGTGCGCATACGCTAGCACCATTATCCCAATAATAACAATAAACCAGATTACTCTACGAAATATTTGGAATATTATGAACACTGATATTCCAAATGACTTGAACACTCGGAATTGTAAAATCTAAGAAAACATCGTTATGTTAGACGGTTGACAAGTTTGAGACAATTCATGTAACTTAATACTTACAAGATTAACGTAGACAAAAAACAAAGATGCCCCAACATACGGCGGCCTATAAATAAACAAATCGCCCAATAGCTTCCCGGTATACAAGAGTGGTAATATGGTGGAGGCTAAATTAATGTAATTATACGCGCTAGACCAATAATGTTCCCATTGTCCATATATCTTTGTCAACTCTAAGAGGAGGTTTAAAGTACCAAAAGCCAATACAAAATACAGGAGAACTCTGATTTTGGTTGCATGTGCAAGGACGTAATTCGGATCTGTGGGATCATTCAAAGTGATAGCAGTCGCGTATGCCGCAACGTACAATACATACATAAAAATAAAGAAGAAAATCCGCATCCTAGCAAATTTCCTCCACTTGAAGTTGATGACAGCCTCCATGGCAGGTTCGCCAAATATATCGTATCGACCAGATAGAGCCGTTTCAACAAACGGAGATCGAAATTTACGCCATCTAAATCCATCAGCCAACTTGAGTAAGAGGGGAAACCTAGATCTGGACAGTTCTTTAGCAGTTTTCTTGGGTGGAGGCCGATATACAGTAAAGCCCGGTAAGGGTACAACGCATTCACGGGCCGGATGAGTTTTATGTGGAATACGGATGAGATCATTGGCCTTTTCAATCTTTCATTTGAAAATGGAATACAAAATTTGTTACCATTTGTACAAGCACTGAAACCAAATAATTAATGACTACTCGTCAAAACAGGTATGACGTATATTAAATATAACTCTTGTGTCATAATTTACCTGATGATCGATCCGTCTTTCACTTTTATAATAAAATGTTTTAAATTTCTGCCAAAAAGTGTCATCGGCTTCGCGTGTCAATTCCTCAACCTTTGAGAATGCAAAATTCTCTTCTCTGTTACTTCTTTCAATATTCTTAGTCGATGGCAAATAACTGAGCTTTTCCATTACTTCCAAAGCAAAGTCCGGATACATTAACCTTAATTTGTTATATGCCGGGACGACAGTAATTGTCCATGACACTGGATTTTCTGATGCTCGCCTGCAATAGTAGTTCAACAGAGAATGCACTACTTCAGTTTTACCCAAAGATATGGCACGGGAGAGAGCAGATTTGGTACGACCGCTATCATGGAATCGAGGAATATGTTTGTTCGTCTTTAACAAAGCTTTGATCATCTTATCCGTGTGTTTGCAGTCAGATCTGATCAATACTTCTAAAGGTGATTGACCTTTCACTATCTGATTAAATAAATGAGTATGTGATTGAATGGCCTCGTAAACAATATTGCTACACTTTTGAAGAAGTTCTTCGAAATGATGACGGCTGTTGCCAGAACCGATTTGAATCCAGTATTTACGCTCGATGTGATCCAAGAACCCCAGAACATAGGATGCGTGCGTAATAATATTGAACGTGGCAAATTCTTCCTCGCTCGGTAATAATAATTCTTCTTCTCTTGACTCGTTATCAGAGATGGCTTCTAAATTGCGTGGACGTTTTTTGACTCTTTGTATGCGTTCTCTGAGCGAAAATTCGTTTGTAGGTTGGATACCAAACTTGGAAAAGCTGCGTTTATCTTTACCAGAGATTGCGTAAGTTACTTGGAGAACAAATCTATCACCTTGCGCTCTCTTCAAAATTGCTTCTTTTATTGTGGCATACACGGTGACAGGCACTTTGCCCTCAATATCTTTCAATGGTTTGCACCACACATACTGCAGACGTTTGGCACCTGATCCAAACGTCCATAACTGGATTGTCTGTTTACCAATAAACAATACTCGTTCACTTTTATCATCAAGTATAAATGCTGATTTAACAGGATTATAGATATTCCACGGTTCTATTCTCAACTCAACAATGGGGTGGTCATTTTGTAGCCCGGGGTCCCTCTCATATCCCGGACCTGATTCGTATAACCTGTCGCCATTACATGCAATAACCTTTGTAAATCCTTGTTCCAAGAAATGATGCCTCCCAATAATTTTTTCTGTTTTCTTCATGCTATCTGTCGCGTGTTCTTTTTCTAATTCCGTCATCGGTAAAGCAATTCTGTTAACAATTGGAACCTTTCCATCATAGCTAACATATAATCCTGTCCCCCCTGGCTGAAATACTGTCATATGTCCCAAGTTGTCATATTGATGGACAATATCACAAGTGTAGACGTTCCATATCTGTATCTTGTGATCAGTATTCACTGCATTCACAGTCATTATATGCTCGTCTCCTTCAAGCCATATTACATTTCTCTTTATAGAGTCGGTATATTTATAATTTTTTGTATCGCTTGTTAACGAAGATGAGAATATAAGACCTCCTTCTCGTAGGAATACTGTTAATACTCCTCGCGATGTCCACGTGGCAAGCATTTCTCTGTTGTTAGAAAGAGAAAATATGGTTGGTTGTGCATCTGCCCCTAAAAATGTGTCATCTGGTAAGCACCGAAAACGAGTTATCAGTTGACCTGTTGATATCGACCAGAGAGATGCAGTATCCCACTATGAGAAAAAGGTTTGGTTAAGTCGTATCAAAATTGTAGTGTTTAAATGGACATAACCTTTATTATAACCTAATTTTCCATCTTATTTCCAGAATAATTTCCCGCACTTACTTGTTCCACATATACAAAATATTCTTCAAGTAACGAGTTCTTTACTGATTTTATTTGCGTCCACGGATGAGGTGCAACTTGCAACGTACTTGCAAAGGCATCGATAACCACTTTGTGTTTTATTATCCAATCAGCTGTTGAGAATATATAGAGATAGTTTCCGTCTTCTTCACCCAGAAACAAATCATACTCCACATCAGCCAAGATGAATTGTTTACTGTCAGAACTGAATTTAATTGCTCCTTTTAGACCCATTAAAGAATGTCTGAATACAGGCCGATCACGAGTAGTCTTAACAACGTATGTGAAAAACCTGTTGGGTTTTGTGGAAAGAGGATTGACAAGTTCAAAGGGAGTCGGATCTTCGGGTTGCTGAGGAAGTTTAATAGTGCTGAGAGCCGCGAATTGACCTGTATGTAGAGCAGAGTTACAAATTTTCAATTGACATATATTCGCAACATTGAATAGATGATATCTATCCGTAAACAAATATAAATAGGTATCGCCATGTACCTCCATTAGATAAGGCAAAATCGACATCGCTCATATTCTGTTCATAAGTAAACAACGGAGCAAAACTTTTCGTCTTTTTCAAATATTGTCTTGGGATAAGAGTGGTGTTTTTAGTGCTAACCCAAGAAGGTTGTAGCTGATGCCCTTGCTGCAATTCATCTACGCTCCAAATAGTAATCTTTCCCTCTGCTCCTGAATATGTCGCCAGATGATTCCCATCAGGTGAAAACGTGCACGCATCTATCGTCTCTGGAGTAGGCAAGGATGACAGAGATATGTCAATCCTCGTTTCGCTCGGTTGATACCATTCTGGCTGAATCGACAAACTAGACCTTTCGCTTTGACGAGGGGATGATAAGTTTGAAATTGTTGCCTCAATCGTATCGTTTGTCGCCCGTTTAGACAATTTATCGATTTCACTGTCATTAACATCCATTATTCGGACGAATCAAATGACACAGAACATAATCGATAAAGAGAAAGTAAATGCTAAGCGGAGAAGGCCATTTTATTTATTTGTTAAGGGACACAGATTGTGTTCTGCGAGCACAGCATCCAAAGTTGGGAGGCAAAATGATTTTCTGTATTGTGGCACGGAGTTTGTCGAATACACCGGTAGACTCCCTCCGGTAGTGTACCATAGTTCATCTATTATTGGAAAATCTGCGGGTCGTGTGATCAATGAGTGGACTAGTACGGCATTGCTAAACGGGGACGGGATGTCGGCTCGGTCTCATAAAGGAAACATTATAGATAATCTAAAAAGGACTGTTGCTACGCGCTCGAGTTCCCTTAAATTGCATCATTCCGGTGCAAAAGAAATGGTGATCTCGAGACTTATGTCATCATACCGAGAACGATTTTAAGATACGGTTAGTATTATTATTGTTGTTGATATTGGAGTTGTCGTTCTGTTGATCGACATCGTGGCGCAGATCATGATTACAAGACATTTCCAGAAAAAGTAAATTGAGCTATTGTCTTGCTGATTTGAACTGATATCTCGAAAAAAGGGATGTACAATTTGAGTTATATCCGTGAATTAGTACTACAACTATAATAATAATGGGCGAATCTGTTCTTATCGATTCTTTTTTTCAGTTTCTAATTCGATATCAGCTTTTCTGAATAGACTAACCTACAAGTAGTAATGAATATGGGTAAATTTGGTTCTAAGGAAAGGATGCGATCACATAGTATTGTTGTGGCTTATTGTTATCTTGAACCGTGGCACAGTCAATGTTTCAAGGGTCCCACAACAATTGACAAATCAAGTTAATCACAAACTTTATTGGCTAAGAGAAAATAAACAACTTCATTCTTGTCTCACGTGAAGCTCAAAATAGGAAGTGCAGAGGATATTTAAGAAATAGATTATTTGTGTTCGTTCAAACGAATAACTTTTAAGTAAACGTAGGGTTATCAAAAATCCATTCATTTGCTTACAAAAAGTAAGACAGTTTACTGCTCACTAACAATTGCCTTTGACGCACAATGAATGTTTTCTTTCTCTTGAATAAATATCTACCTTAATTTGGTGTCTGGACTACGACGACCGAGTTCTGATCTCAATTACTATAACAACCTTGAGTTGTAACAATTTAAGAGTTTTCTAATTCTAAATTGTTACAATATGAAGTAAATATTCAATAACAGTATTATACTATATTACCTTTTAAAAATATACATCTATGGTTGAAGTATATCGCGCTACGCATCATCAGCCAACTCTCCCTAAACTCCCACGAGATAGGAGTGTGGGAGACAATTTACGGTTGCACATGTTTGAATACTAACTGATGGTCAAAAGGCTCTGTTGTTGTAATGCATGTATTTACAAGGCCTCGATATAGTGATAGTCGGGATTGACACACGTGTAAGTGCAAAAAAAAAAAGAAAGTACGGTATTTGCAAATTACTATTTTCAAAGTTAGCTATAAACCACTCTTTTTTTGCTCTTGCACCAATAAATTGCACAATTTATGTGGTAACGTCGAAACGGGTTGACCCTTTTCAGAATGGGTCAAGTCTCTTATTACGTTAGACCAAATGCAAATGAATAGTGGCTTACCTTATCACGTTTTCTTTCTTAAACGAAACGGCGCACCACTAACAGATAATTAGTTTAAGACAAGGTGCCATTTTTTGTGCCAAATTATCAAAACGCTTGGCGTTGGTTTTGAAGCTAAATGGCTGTGCTTTCGTTCTGAAGGCTTAGGATACGGTGCAAAGCCACCATTACGTAATCAGTGTTAAATTATTGGCTCGAAATTTGATTGGCCCCCTAGGCGAAGCACGGTATTTGGAGAAAGAAGTTACAACACATAATTACGTTTAAAAACAAATTAAATTTGTAAATCATAATTAGCCTTTGGAGAATAGCATTTAAATACGCCGAAGAATATTAGAGTCTGATACGTATAATAACTCGATAATGGTGTGTCTGAAAGTGATATTTGTATATGTTTAAATAAAGAGATGTCCACTTAATACATAAAATCTATTTTTATTAACATCTTTCGGTAAATATTTTCGCATCGGCGACAACTTATTGTATAGTTGGGGAATGCCCATCACCGACGAATTATAATAACAAAAGGTCTTGCTATTCCCAAATCACAAGAATTGCTAACAATAATAATAACGTATTAGCATCCATTAGACATAGGCTCATGAAATTAAACGGGTAGATATTATTTAACAAGCAAACTATTGCTGTAATACAATACGATTTTCTAATAACATTTATTCATTGTCTTCTAACATCAGGGTTGTGTATCAATCAGTCGACATATACAGTGTGTAACGAAAGAAACCGCCTTCCGAAAATTGAACATATTTTGTAAAGAAAACAAGGGTGCGTGTTGTTATTGATGACAAACGCGTCTTTATGTTGAATTACTCCCCATGTTAGTAAACGTATTTAAGTAATAATTATCGTAATTAGTCCCGTTGTTCTCCCCCTTGTCCTTTGCAACCATGGAGAGACTTGAAGTTCAACGACAACAATTATCATTATTGGCTTAATGGCGTCCAATCCCTAAAGGAAAGACCAATATCCCTCATCGCATCAAAAACATGTGGTATATTGTCAAGACTAGCGTTGAAACATGGATGCTAAAAAATAAAACAATTTATGACCGAAGAATGGATGCAACTCCAGAAACGACTGTACAAAAATTAATTTCATCGATGAAAAAGAGGTGTGAGCTTGTTTTGCAGAAAAATGGCGATAGAATTTCGTATTAAAAACTTTACATTATAAGCTTTAAGAAAAAATTGGAATTGTTTAAAATTTGCATAATCATTGAGTTATGGTATATTTTATGATAGCGGTTTTTTTCGTTATCCACTGTAGTTTACAACAAAAAAACTTTTATTTATTTTTCAGTTAATATCTGCAATTGTGACAACTAACCAGGATAACTAAAAACGCTATGGCGGTTATTATTGCAACCGAATTTTAATACACAGACGCTCTTCTTGCTCTGTCGTGCGAAATTTTGACATTTCCATTTTGTCAAGGCCATAATTTAAGACAATTTTACCAGAAAAGACTCAAAATTTTTGCTCATATAAGTTACCAAATTATGTCTCGAAGCACATGTAGCATTTGTGGTTTTAAAATGGTGTTCTTAAATTTTGAATAATAAAGTATTTTGAGTTGAGTGAGCTGTCATTTGTTCGATCCAAATAATAAAGGAAATTTGACTTTATAATGTTTAAAGACTTTCTAGACGCCTCATAGAAGACCGACCATTTACCATTTTTTTACTGTTAGTCGTTTGGAAACTATATTAATATTTAGAGTTAATGTAAGCTACAATTTATTTTGTTAAACTCTTATTCTAATTATACATATTAATACGAAAGATACAAAATCTCATTTCTAAGTAATAGACATTGTTTTTCCTAATGAAGACACAACTAACCCAACAAATATCTGCTATCATAATCACTATTGCTATTAATATTAAATACTTTGTTCACATGATATGACTAAAAGAAGGAATTTACAAAATTAGTTATCTCAATAAAGACATAGATTTGTTACTATGTAGAAGGCGCTTAATAAAGGAATACAACTGTAACGTTTTTAGAATATTAACTAAAAAATCTAATGCAGTAATTGTAATAAGCAAAAGAACTCTTTGTAATAATACCGATTAGAAAATATATTGTTTACCTATCTTGAACACGTTAACAACAAGGAAATTCAAAAATTAGAGAATGTTTATTAAAAAAGCGTAAAACTTTTGAGTTATCAATTTTTAAATTTTATCAGAGTTTTGTATTAACGAATTAAAAAATAATACTATATATATTTTAAAGCCGCAGCAACATGTCTAGACATACTTGCTAGTACTAGTAAATCTATACAAATTTGTGGTAAAGTCTTATTCTACTCAACCTCCACACGTTTTTCTACAACTCTAACTCATGCATATTAACAGGGCCAGTCTTATAAGTGGCTTAAAGGTGTTGCAAAATATAAATACTCAATGGGCTTTGGGTTTGGTGATTGTGCAGGTCGTCCAGAACCTCAACGCCATTATCTTTAAACCGTTTTTGAGCAGCATGAGAGAGTTACTATCCTGTTGGCAACTTAAAATAGCCGTATTTACTTCCATCTCATAATACTTTAGGTTCTGAAAAAATTCGTTATCAAAAATGCGGGTATAGAGTTCTGCATTCACATTTTCGTCAATACGGCCCGATTTTGAGTCGGGCTGAACTTCGGTCAGGACATTAATATTCATCGCTATTTTAAAATTCACCGTATAAAAATACCTTAGTCTGGTTGTGTCAATTAATACTGACCTGATTCTGACTGATTTAGTGCTAGTATTAGTATTAGCACATATTAATATGGGATATGCTGCAGCAAAACCAGACAAAGTAAACATTTGACTATGTGAATTAAAGATGGTTGATGTGGCTAAGAATGACAAAATTTTCTGGGAAGGCTTTTGCTTGAGTGGCACATGTTTGAATTCATGGATAAAGTTTGATTGCATTTTAAATCTGTATTAATGAGTATCCAAATGTAAATAGTAAACTTGAAGTTATCATTCTAGTAGTAATATATTTCATATAGGGCCTATGTATAAGTGTACATACATACATACATACTAATACATACATACATACATAATTAATTTACATCAAATCCACTTCATGAAACCAAAGAATTACAGCACTATTAGAAGTACGTGCGTTTTAAAGAGAGCTCAGGGAGAAAAATTACTCTATGTTTTAAAATAAATGATACCAAAACTATCCCGGTATATCTAAGTAAAGAAAAACTTACCTATAAAATTTATCAAGAAGAACGAAAAACAATAGACAATAAACGAATATTAAGACCAGCACGAAAACTAGAAGAAACATAAAAAAGGTAAATTTAATGTAAAAGCTTCGCACCGATCAAGCGACCTATCAACGAAAATGTTTATTATTATTATAGTTTTACTTGTTGATAAAGAACTGCTTGAGCACATATTTAAGCCTTGATTTGCCTTCCACTGTTTTGATACAATTATAACCAGAGTCAAATAACGTAACAATAATTTGATTTTTGTAGACATAAATTTTTTTAATGTCAGTAATTCTTATCCTTTTTTTCATTATTTGTGTAAGATTATTTATTATTATTCACCATTTTATTAATTTATCTCATATTTAAATTGCTATCCATCAGCTAGCTAAAACAAAGGAAGTAATAACTAATACTACGGCTAATAAAGATGTTCTAACCCAATTGCAATCTGACCCAATTCGAATAGACACCTTATCTAAATATCGCACAGTATGCGACATTCAATTTCAAAGGGAGAAATACTGATTCCGGAATAGGTAGCATTATCAAAACTTAATTTTTTTAGTTTATCAAGGAATCCTATCATTTCTTGGTGCGGAGTGTTAAAAGAAATACCGAGTAGCAGATTTTTTAAGAATACTTTATTAATATTTATTTTCGGGAAACAAAAGCGTTCGAAAAGATAAAAAAGATACACAAAGGAATGGGAAGTAAGGCACTGATGAGGAGATAGACTATCTCGAGAGGGCGATCAACATTGTTTATGTGATGCTACAGTGTGTAACAAAAAAAACGGATATTTTTATTTTGCCATTACTCAGCCAATAATGAGTCATTTGAAAGGTAAAAACAACCAAATTTATTTGATAATTATTAATAAAAAATTCGTTCTCCATTCTTTTCAATAATGAGCTCACAACGTCGTTTTATTGACTCCACCAAATTAATTAACATGCTTTCCGGAATTCTATTCTACTCCTCTTCCATAAAACTCTCCAGTTTACCAAGATTTTTTGGCATTTGTCTTTTTACGTTTTTTTAACAATTCCCGAAAGGTTTTCTATCGGTTTAAATCAGGACTATTTGATTGCCAGTCCATTACCCCCGGAATATTTTCTTTCTATTTTCTTTCAAAATTCCGTAGCAAGACGACTTGTGTGTTTTGGATCGTCTTACTGAAGTCTCCACCTACCGCCAAGCATCCTATTTACTTTGGAATGTGTTTCTGGAGGATGTCTACGTAGAATTTGGCATCTATTATCCTTCGTAACAACATAAACCTGTTTTACCGACCGCGCAAAATCCACCCCATGCAAAAATTTTTGTACGATCTTTGGGCATGGAACGAATCAGCCATTTACCTTTGTACCAATGTTCGATGGTGTTCCGGTAAAATTGGAACGCGGTTTATCGGAAAATAATGTTTTCCTCCAATTGCCATTAAGGTGTTGACATGCCCACTCAACGCATCTTTGCTTATGGGCTTTGGTTAGCAGAAGCGTTGGTTTAGGCAATGCTTTCGAGTACCCATAAGTGTTCAAACGCCTCGAAATTGTCATGTGTGATACATCAACACCCGTATTTGACACTTTATGAGCTAAAGTCCGTGTGGTATTGAGTCATTTCTCCGTATTGATTGTCCGATTAATTTGGAAGTTTTCCTAGGACGACCATTGTCTCGCGCGTGATCCACTGTTCCTTTTTCTTATGTAATAAATAGTGGAAAAAGAAATATTTGTTCAGCAATAAATTTCTAGGCTATTACAAATACCTCATTCAACAAATGTAATATGCAATGACGTTGTGTTTCTTGTTTAGAAATGGGCATTGTGTTTGTATATGAAACAAAGGTTGGGTTAAGAATCAGGTTGTAAACAACCCCAAATATACTCCTGATTATTATTTTTATTTCCATTTTACAGCTCCCAAATCGGATAGAAAACAAACGCGTGGGACGCGTTTACGTCACATAAAATATATCCGTTTTTTTTTGTTACACACTGTATATAAATGTGTTTATTTCGAATTGGTCGGATTGCGATTTGGGTCATAACAAAGATATTGTATATAGAAATTTTTTCTCTTTTTTCAGCTTCTCTTGCTTTGTTTATATTTCCGCGCCTTTTATTATATTTTGAGGTTTTAAATTTTTTGCGTGTTGGTCTACTTGAGTTTTAACAGTAGAAATTTCTCCTCCATTTCGTTTTCATACTGATTAACAGTAAAAATTTGTTGCTCATTTTTACTTAACTTACTTTCTGCTGAATTTTTCAAGTAATATGCTGTTTTTTTTTTCAGCAGAAAGTTTTTTGAAATTGATTTATTACTTTCGAAACATATACTAAATACTTACTGATGTTCAATGCCGGGACTAACGTTAAAAGTGGAGTTATGCTTAATTCAATACTATCCCTGTGTCTCTTTTAAAAGTGTCTTTAGAATATGCTGCATCGTACATTTGAAAAACAATTTTGCTTACATTACACCGCAATGTTTCTTCCTTATCTTGTATTGCATTTTTCAAGCGCCTGATCGCCTTAAATGCATGCCGTAGTAGAGGCAGACATTATACAGAAGCTTTTTAACTATGTTATATTACAATGTCATGTGACCCGATTTTTCGATTTAACTACCCGCATCACCATGAAAATTTCACGTTCACATGACTGCAGTGGGTGAAATTATAGAAGCAAAATTTAATTTTTACTAAATTTTTTGTTAAACTTAAATTATAGATATAAAAATAATCATGTGAACGTAAAATTTTCATGGTGATACTGGGGGAAATTTACGGATTAATGTTAACTAATACTAATAGTTGATAGTAATTCTAATATATTTTTTCCCAACTTTTGATAAAATATTTGGGTTTACAATAACGGGTTATGTTAATTCGCTTAACAATTAATTCCTAAAGGTTCGATATTTATTTACATACTTAAGCAACAGCATGCGTCTAGCATGCGAGTTACGTTAAAAAATAGTTTGTAGTTGTTATACAAGTCTTGTGAGCTAATTTGTAACGAATGTATGACTCAGTAAGACGTGACGTAGTCCTACCATTTCAACGATACCATTGGGTTGTGTCAAATACTGAGTCTCACCAACGTAAACATATTCATATCTCAGCTTTGTAGATAATAATAAAACTTTAATTGAAAATACTGGAATTCGTAGAGTCTTGCAATACATTCTCGTTAGACAATTTTGAACTATTTGAAGTATATGCAAGCAAACTTGCAATTCCCTGCAAATCATCTGTAACGATCGGCAAAATTTCCAAACCATCTAAAACATGTCGCTTGTTTCGAACATAATCTCTAAAAACCCATATTTTAATCGATTATATGAGCTTTTGGTTCCGTTTGCCAAATTTCATATGTTCCTTGAAATGTGTGGGCTTTATATTAAAACATTTGATGCTTGGAAAGTCTGCAGATGATCAGGGTTATTATACACCTTAATATTAATCGCTTTATATTTATTATTGGGTGAGTTAGAGAGGTCGGTTACTTATTTCCAGGTAGAAGAAATTAAATAAAACACGTGATTAAATGTGTCATATTATGGTAGATACGAGGAACTCCTATACACAATGGTTTTAATCTTGGGAATTTGTAATTGTATATCTATGAACGCAAATAGTTTATTATCATTATAAAAGTAAAAAGGCGTGATATATTAAATTAAAAGAAAACCATTTTCAGTTTGAAAAAATTCTAGAAAGATTTACTCTGACAATTTCAAATCTGCAGAGGTGAAAAATTCTATCAAAGTCTGCTCATACGTCCTCATGGTAAACTACGTAATTTGGTAAACCATAGACACCTTTTCCCATCTTCTTCGCAAGCTTGCCAAATCCTTCAGTTTCGATTTGATGAGCGATCGGAATAGTAGGGAATATGCCACCATCCCGATGTACATCCGCCCGAACCAAAAGGCAAGCTCCACCCACCCCATCGATTTCTACAAGATCACTCCCACTATCGCGTAAATCACCGAGATAGTTTCGGTGAGTAGATATTTCTTCATACCCTTCTACGAGTATCTGATCTTCATCAAGAGTGGTAAGAAGTTTTCTAGATTCCCAAGTCTCGATAAAATTGTTCCTATCATACACAAACTCTATATTTGTGCTTTTCTCATGAGTAAAGACGTTCGCAGCTAATACATCCTTATCGTACGAAATCATATCTTCAAGCATAGTGCTAGGATATGTAACAATGTCCACATCTAACCACAGAACCCAGTCTTCATCGGTGAGAGCGCTAAACAAAAGGTGGTTCCGAGACTTTGCAAGAATCTGTCGCCTTCGAACTTGCTCAGAGAACTTGTGTCGGCTTCCGTGTTGGAGAAAATATTGAAAGTTCTTTTCAAAAACGCTTATTTTCCGGTATGTACCGTTGTTCAACAAAGACGAAACTTCTTTCATTAGCACATCTATGGTGCCATCAGTAGTGTCTGTAACCAGGAATCCAAGTGATATGTGTTCTTTGGGAAATGTCAATTGTGATAACTTTTCGAAGTACAGAGGAAGTTTAGTCGACACGTCTTTCAAAGGTGTTAATATGAGAACATTCGCCTTGCTAGTCGACGGTTTCGCCGATGTAGCTGTGGAATCGAACGAATGTAGGAAAAATGTATCTTGCGTTGCATTTATAGGACAATCGTGGAGATGGGCTATCTGTCGGCCTCTATATGTATGAAACGTATCAGAGATTATGTAGAACACTACAGTTAAACCTGTTATAAAGGCTAACGCAAGAATGAATTTTGCAGCTCGAGAAGACATAACTGCAAAGCTTAACATCAGCCGCCAAACTTACCCCGGCAGTCAGCAAAAAAGTAACGCATAACCAATGAGAGATTGTATCACATGCAACTCAACCAACAGCCAATGAATGGGGGTCTTAGATATTAGTTTTACAAACATACCCTTAATACCCTTAATACCCTTAATATTAATTTTGAAGCCCGATCATTTACAATCGATAAGGCTTTTTGCAATCGGCGCGCCTGAAGTACATGCTTTCACACGTGTTTTTTTAAACAGACGCACGCACTTCTTTCATTGTTAAAAAAAATATTTGTTGATCGTAAACCAGTTTTAGCAAGAAATCGACAAATCGTGCTGCTTACGTTTATTCAGCCCACTGATCGAGTGTATCCCTAACATTAATACATTAATTTGAACTATTGTATTTCACTACAGTATACCTTCTCTAGTAATTTCCATCCCTGTTAATATCAATCTCTCTATTGACAGCAATTTTCATATACAAATTCCCTGCATATATCAATTTTTTGATATCATACCCCGTTGATATATCTCTATCAACATATATCAGATTTCATTTTTAATTACATACACCATGATAATATCAAAATCAATATAAATTGCCATTTTAAATTTAAACCCGATACATCGTATATCCATTACCATAAGTGTCTTTCTATAATACAGATAAGATTATCACATTCTGTACTACAGTAAAATAAGTACTAAAATGGGCAAACAATAAAGAAAAAAATCGCTAGAAGTAATTGATCAATGTGCAATTTTTTGTTAACACAAATTTAGCTGTACAATCACCTTTTGTTATTACACATGACATGCAAAGTCGAAAAGTTTCGTTTTGATACACCAGGAGTTCCGTTTTTGATAGATCTGCAAGCACCCCAAATTTTGGTTTCGTTTTTGATACATCTGCGGCAGTCACGTTTTCGACAAATTCTACACTATGACTATACGTGAACGTTAATCCGAACTTTGGAGCGAGGACTAACAGTAATAGGAAGGAATTAGTTGACAATAAACTAATATTTCTTGAACTAAGGGCCTTTATCTTGTCCACAATTAATAATAAGAGCTTTGGTATCTATTATGTTCGCATATAATCGTTACGTTCACATATTAATATAGTCATTATGGTCATGACGTTCACATAAAGTCAGTAATAATATAACAAGATCTCTGAACTTTCAATAATATCTGGCCCGACGACTTCATGTAACTGTACATCAAATAATTTTCTGGGATCGAAATTTTTCATAGTGCGTAGACAGTAATAGTCCTTCGCTTTGCTCCGGACAATTACAAATAAATTGTTGCCTATTGGAATAATTACTCGTTTATACATGAATATTAATATTGTTTTGTATAAAATTTGCACTTTCTCAAGAATTTACTCCGAACAAGATTGTATTTATAGATCAGGAGTCAAGACGCCAATAGAAGATGCAAATGCACTGACTGTATGAATTAAACAAAGAATAAACCAACTAAATCAGATAATTTATTCCTCACTATTAAATAATTACAGAAAAATATACAGTAATTGTGACGACTAGCACTACTGAGGAGTGAGGGAAAATACCAGAATTGACTCTAATTCTATTACTTTGTAAATTATGAGACAGCGTTGTGAGCAAGCGAAATAGTTATTGATAGAATTTCTGCTGTTTGCTACGGTTATATAATTG